CAGGCACAAGAGACACCGACAAGAATAGCAAATAGCATCAAACGGGTAGCTGAGCCCTTGTCTCTCAAACAGAGACGCACGCAGGAGCCATGTGGTGTTCCAGGAGCAATACATTGAAGAAAAGACAAAAAAATAACGCTCCTCCATGGCCAATAACAGTGATTCTTTATGTTTGACCAAAGTGCACATAACAAACTTGAAAAAGTGCTGCGAAAAACAAGCTTGATAGGTGCTACTAACGCCACTAGTGGATGCTCCTGAAGAGTACGGGGAGAACTGCTGCTGAAGACGTACTTCTGGTTCTCTAATGAAATCGAGGTAGCTGTAGGAGCTCATAGGGTATGCCTTTTTGTTTCCGGCGCAGGTGACTTGATCACTCTTAACGTCTGATATCTCCACCATGAAGGGCCATCTGTTGTCCTCCTGAAGAGCCCTCTTTGCCTCTACATACGTAGAGACTTCGGATTCCCCTGGCCGCACTTCGATCCCGAGTTTAATCTTCTGAGCCATATAAAAAAGATGGCGGGTGCCCTCCGCAAAACGGCGTACGTACAGCACGCGTGCATAGAAAGCGATGTTGTCCCGGAACCTGCGTACGGTGTCCGATATCAGTTCAGATAACCGACCCTCTTCTACTGCTTCCATCAGCGGCTGCACAATCGTCTTGAGCCGTTGTGCTGCCTTCTGTTCCGCCAGTTTGTTCAGCATCTGCTGCACGTCGGTCAATCCACCCACACCCAATTCCGGCTGAGAACGCGGCCGAGGCAGCAGCTGGGTCGCGATCCAGGAGACGCGTAACGAGTCGCTGGAGGCATCTTCGGTGAATGAGGCGAGCAAAAACCCCACGAGGAGAATCAGCAGCAACGCGCAATGCAGGATATCAACAGACGCGAACAGCGACTCGTAACCCAGCCACTGCTCCGGCCCGACAAACTCCTCCCCCCTGGGCACCCACGAGCTGGCCAACGACATTATAGCCTCGATTCAACGATGTCTGAAGCTCACAGAGCGCGCAGGCGAAGCAACGAAACAAAGAAGTCGCCCCAAAGGAACAGGGCTTGCGGGCCTGTGCTAGATTGAGCCGGGACGACTGTGGCCTCCTCTGCCCCTGCAATGAGGGTATGCTATTTTTTAACGCGAGAAACAAATGACAGAAAATTCAGAAGCTGCCGATCACCGAACCCTCGAAGCGGGTCCCACCCACCGTCTGCCGGGGAGGGGCTGCTAGGGTTCGAGAGGCAGAGGGTAGTGGCGTATAGATGTCACGCTACCTCATAGACATTGAAACGCAAATCCAAACAAAAAACTAAAAGGAAAAAGTCCAGCAAGCAAAGGAAAGATACAGCTGGGCGACATGCGGCAGTTGCACCCGCCGGCTCCCTCTCATTCAGCATGAGCACGTCTGTGGGCTATTATGCCCTTAAACCCAAGAGTGAGAGCACCTCACTCCGCTACTGTTACAAAATCTGCTTCGACTCCATCATATTCCATTTCCAAAAGATGCAGTTACCCGCAAACTACAAAACGCTACAGGTGCTGCTGGGTACCACCGGCGCCGGGCTACTGGGCGGCTGCAGCGCGATTACAAGGGCTGTGTGGTGGCTGCTCTTGACAGAAACCAACAGCAAACCCATTTAGTATGCGTAATTCTGCAAAAAATAAAAACAAAACTCAATCTATGACAGATTCAAGACAGCATCATAGTCAAAAAGAACCACCTTCCACCGCTAGCTACAACCGCCGCCGAGTTCTGGCTGTAATGCAAGTGCTCGACTTTAGCAGAAGACAATCACGAGGTGCAACAGAGTCAAAATACTCAATATAACGCCCACGAAAAATAGCGGACCCCCTCTCCAGTCTCCAGGTGTCCTGGTCAAAACGGCATAACGCACGGCCCTGATGCTGATGCGGAGAGGCGGTATAAAGAGTCTTCGATCTTAGCGGAAGAAGGGCTTGCGCTCCAGTGGATTCACAAGAAGCTTCCATACAAACAATTTTCACTGAATCAGCATACCTCGTCTTTAAATTGCAGCAGTTCTGCGCACGAAGAAAAGAAAGGTCCTGGGGCTGGTGAGGAGGGGAGGGGGCCAGAAATGATGAGCGGCGCAACTTGCTGCAGCTAATGCAGCAAGAAAATTCCACGTGTAAGCAAACTCAAGCCCCCATTTAATGCATGCACTAACAATGTAGACATTTTCTAGGCAATTCCCTGGCCGTCATCAGCAGGTTGCGTTCAACAAATAATGCATCTACCTACTTTAAGCGCATCATGCTACATCTGCCCAGCACGTATGCATGTGGAACTACCCATATTAGCTTCGGACAGATGATTCGACTTCTCTTCCTCCCCGTCTCCCCCAAGTAGCGCATCCCCTTGTCTGCCTGGCTGGCCAACAAAGAATGGGTAGGCAATTCCCTGGCCGTCATCAGCAGGTTGCGTTCAACAAATAATGCATCTACCTACTTCAAGCGCATCATGCTACATCTGCCCAGCACGTATGCAAGTGGAACTACCCATATAAGCTTCGGACAGATGATTCGACTTCTCTTCCTCCCCGTCTCCCCCAAGTAGCGCATCCCCAACAGACGGACCGACCGCAACAAAGAATGGGTGGGACGAGGCGAAGAAATGAAGGCGCGAGAGTGGCCAGAACTCCAAACAAAGAAGAAAATGCAGGAAAATAGTAGGGCAGAGTGAATGAACCTTGTCTGTCGATTCCGCTCATTTTTGCTAGGGTGTCACTCAACTCTATTCGTTCCTGGCAATGGCGTTGCCGGTGTCCTGTAGGGAGAGTTAAAAGAAATTGAGGTGATCCGCTGAACAATTTAATAGGAGCCACATTAATAGCACGATAAGATGTACACGTTGCTGTTTAATTTGCAATCTGAGCAGACGCGTTGGCCGGAGAACGAAAAGTAGTCGCATACCCCATGGCGACCTCCAGCCGGAGCTTGCTCTACTGCGCTCTTCACAGAGTATGCGAATCCGCTAAAATCAAGTCAACTGAGCTACTCGTAGAGACCGAACGTCGTTGGTCTTGACTTCTGGCCTTGCGTTCCTGTGATTTCTTCATGCATTCCTCAGCTGCTGAAACCTGTGCACGGCATTGCGCAGCTGTGGGCTGCTGCTCTTGTTGCCAGCCACCAGCTCCACCTTTGATTTAAACACTGGCATTTCGGTGCAGGCCA